TCACACTTGGAGGTTGAGTTTGAAATCTTTAGCTCATACATGCGGAGGGAATATCCCAGCAAAGTTTCAGCTCCTTACCATGTCTGGTTCCCGAACCTCCCCGCCAAAAAGTTTGCATATTTCTTTAAAGTGTCCGTACGTCGCACCCAGGCGTCCGCGGGAGATGATATTAAAACGGGAGGGCCGCGCTTTTAACTTTTCTGGATCCCGAGTTGAAAGTGGGTGACTAAAGGTGCGAACACATAGACACACACACACACACCCAGAGGCACACGCTGCCCATTCCCAATATGGGTTTTTGCAATTTGCATATATGCAAAAACGCATAAAAATGTATACTGGCAAAAGGCTGTATCTGTCTGTGTGCTATGTGTCCCTGCATGTTGCACTTTTTTTTTCATCCATTAACAACTCGTTAACAACTCAAGAACCAAAAAAACCAGAAAGCTGAAACTTTCGGAGTATGTGCCCACCCCACGTGTGACCCTTCCATTTATATGTGTTTTTGCTCGCATATTATCGAAAGGTCGTCCGTATATGTGTGCAAAAACGAATGGAATTTGTCACCCAGTTTCAATTCAGCTACCAAGAAAGCTGGGAGGCTAAAATATTGGGGTCATGTACCCATCCCAAGTATCAACTTCCTGTTTTAAAATCATCGTTCATACGCACTTAAACCTCGCCTAAAGACTGCTAAAAAAATAAGCAAATTTCTTTTGCGCAAAGCTATTTCGTGAGCCAAAAAATTTCATTGCCTAAAGCACTGATTCTCAGCCTGGTGTCAGCAGTTCCCTAGGGGGCTGCAAAGGCAGACAAATAAGGGACGAAGTAAGAAGAATTGCATTAGATTTCCATCAGATTACAATGTGATCGGCAAAAAATTCGCATTTAGCACGTTAAAACACATGAAATCTACATATGAGCGAGAAGAGCGCTAATGATATCATTTTAAATTCAACCGGGATCCTTGCAATAAAGATAATAGGTGTACGCGTGTGTATTAACAGATTAACTCATTTCACCGTTTCGCCAAATCCGAGGACCCTTTATGAGAAAAGTGAAATAAATAGTTGATGCAGTCTAGTACTTTAAATCTTCAGTTAAGTATCGGTGGGCAGCGGCGGCAAAAGGCACTTAAAAAGAGGACCGTGGTAAAAAAAGGTTGAGAACTATTGGCCTACAGGATAGCGGTACTAAGCGCCATTTACTTTGAGGTCGATTACTTGCTTGTGCTTCGCAAACGGAACCTTATTTGCAGTGACACAACATGTGCCAAGAGGGAACTTAACTTCTCATCTTGACTTCTTACTGATCCTTCGTGTCGCAACATGTTAAGTATTTTAATGCATCTTTTTATGCTTCACACTTAACATTTCATGCACATGAATTTATATGTGCGGTACTCATGTGTTCATGACAATGCCTGCCTGTTATCAAAAGAAGTGCATGGATTTCAATTCTTGCCAGCTTTTCGCAGATGTCCAGGACAACTCGAGACCACAAGCTAATGACCATTGAATCAGACCGTACCTGATATTCGGCAGGTATTCTGATTGGCTAATACACGCCCTATATTTACGAGAAAATGTCCATTCTTTTTTGGCCGTTTGTTTGCTCTAATGTTTGGTTTTTGGGAAAATTTGCATTGATCGTTGTTCTGTTTAAAATCTCTGTTTCCCTTTTGCAAAAAGTATGACAAATCAGCTATCACTAACTAGCAGACCATCATCCTTCTTTCAGCCACTCATTATGACGGCACAGATGAGGCTCTTCTCTGCCCACGTGTTTGATCACAAAAGGTAAGATAGCGAGTAGCTCGCGAGTTATTCTATTCATAGTTATTTTCCATGGGCATTATAGCTTCGCCAAATGTGTTAGTTTCATCGTGCAGTACCTGAAATTTGCCTGTTACAAGAAAAAAAACAGATTTACGTTACTCCAAGCAGACATACGAACGAAATCTGAACTTAGCTTGCTGTAGAGGATCACTCCATAATAAATCCCGAAGACGGTTATATGCTTATGATCGTAAAAATAACAGTGCCAGAAAGAGAACAAACAAAACATCGAGCAGCGTTTAGTGCTTATACGTCCAACTTATGCAGAAATAACTGCCATACAGTACCCAATGCTTTTTCTTGTGCATTTACCTCTCCCCCCACACGGTGCACTTCTGGTGTATACAATATTGAGAAAACCCGTGAAAAACCGACAAAGAAAAAGCCGCCACAAAAAGAACTGCATAGCGCCTAAAAGAAGGCAGCCGCATACATACGCATACATAAAAATTTGAAGGCAGACGCATACATAAAAGAGGAAGAGCTCTCAGACAGTAGTGATGTGAGGTTACTACTAAAACTTGTCTCGGCTCATCTACGCGATACTCAACTCGCCTTTGGCTTGGGGTTCGAGTTACGAAAACTGTGGTACCACCCGAGAAGCCGACTTTTTGTAGTTGCCATGGTTGGTACACTCGGGCCAACCCGCTAAAAACCAAGCACCAATTCTTATCAGCGCTCTCTCGCAATGGATTTCTTTCTTTGCGCTCCATTGCCGATATGTGCTATTTCGTGATCCGTGGTACTCAGGATTTTTTGGAGTAATTTTTTATCTTCCTTGATTTCTGGTAATGCATACTTGTATGTCCAGTAGTAGTGTATGAATTTTTCTCGGTGTGTGTGCGTGAATTATCCAACACCAATATTTATCAGTATTTTACAATATATTTATCGATCTGGCGTAATTATGCAATGTTATCATGCAAAGTGCGAGGAAAGGAAGAGTATATTTAAAAAACGGAAGGGTTTTCTAATAATGAGGATGGTCAAGGCGTTATGTGATTACTTCCCCGAGAGGTTAGTTCGAAGGTTAAAACTTGTGAAATAGGAAGAAGGGTCATCATCACCTTTCTCCTTAATTCATTATCAAATATTCGAAGTATAAAATATCAGAAATGCAATAGATTATTGCGTGACGATGGGTAGTGTTATTTTGCGTATTATAAATTCTGCAGATTGATCCCTCGAACTAACTTTAATTTGTTAGATATTAAAGGAAGTAACTGATACATATGAAAATTTTGCGAGGCGAAACAATGAAAATGAAATAAGATATAACAGGTTTTCCCTCGTCATTTGATGAGAAATCCTTGATAAATCCTAGTAATCCTCGGTTGAGTCAACAATTAAGCTTGGACAGAATTTTAAGAGATATTCAAAAGGTAGATATTTTAAATATGAAATGGTGAAATGCATAGTGTAAATGAAAAACGTACACTCATACACACTACAAGGAAATATCCACAAATACATATACACACACAC